GACTGGAGTGCTGATTTTTCGAGATCGAATCATCGACAGTATGCCCGATATGAAACCAAAAAGGAAACGAAAAAAATAGAGACAAAAAAGAAAAAAAAAACAAACAAACCACACAAACACGAAAGAGAAAAAAAAAAAGAACAAATCGAACGATCAAAAAAACAATATAAGCAGTAAATCGGGCTTCCTCCTTGCTTTTTCGTTTGTCGCCGAATCCGCTTTGTCCGATCGCGTGCGAATCCTTTCGCTGATCCCTGGGAAATTTCATGGTACTTTTTATCTCCGAAACCGCGCGCAAACGCATTACTCCGAATCGTACGTTTACCGCTGTGATTTGTTTAAAACCGAGCTTACAAGTTTCTCGTAAACCTTCGGACATAGATAATTCGAACGATTTTCCATCCGAGTTCGCACTTACGTATCTTTCGTCCTTTCGGAAATATGGTATTACAAAAAAAGAAAAAAAGGAAAAAAAAATATGGACAGAATTTCGAATTTGCATTTTAAAGATTTATACTGTAAGATTCACGGTTGAATATGCCCATCTATTTCGAACTGGTATGCTTATTATTTATTAGTATATTTTGAAACGTATGCACGATACCACGCGTCCATGGGAATCGTTTAATCACTATCCTTGTTACTCGCAAATTGGCATTTTGTCGAGCATAGGCCTGATATTTAAAAACGAACGAACGAAATTGGACGATCGAACAGAAGTGGACAAAAAGCACCACGCTGCTTATTACAGTACTCAGCACAGCACGTAATAGGACGATAGAATTGAATCGCAGTGAACGAAATACGAAATACTGTAAGAAAAAGGCTGTTTCACTGGTTTCACAGGGGAACGAACCGGAAAGAACTAGGCGAAACTAAAAAAAAAAAAAGAAAAAACAGGCTGGAGAATTAATTGGCCGAAGAGTCGAGCGTAGCAGCAGGCTTTTCACAAATTCGAAAAAAGGACGCTGCCGAGTGAGCGCGTTTCCTCCAACAGATTCAATTACACGGATCGATTTAATCGTTCGACTGCGTATCCTGCAGGGGGATTTTCGTTTAATCAAACGATACGCGGAACTCGATGCGTTCAAGATGAACACCAGGCGAACTTCTGATAAATTCGTCGGTCCGTTGTTAATGCGAAATTTATTGGCAGTCGACGAAGTTTGGGCAGGATTTATTTGCGATCGCGAGCGCCGGTACATCGAGGCTGATTCAAAATTTTTGATAGCAGACTGCTCGACGACTCGGCCATTTGTGTCGAACGTCCCTGTTTCGTCGTGCGCTACTGATTGTCAGATTCGTGAATGAAAACAGTGAAGAATTGCAAACGTCGAATAATTGAAATGTCAAACGGCCACACGCTCACGTGTACTACGTGAAATCACGAGTCTGGTTGCTGTTAGAGTGTGGAATCGTGTCGTTGCTTGCAAGAGGGCCGAGTGAATCGATTCAAGGAGAAGACACGGAGCGAACGTAGCAGTTGCAACCTTTAATAATCAATCGAAAGTCGATCGTCTTTTTTCTCCCCCTCTTTTGGAATGTACAAACTTGTGACATCGCTCCCATCGATAAATTTCATTCCGTGCTAGCAGCAAGTCGATTGAATTCGTCGATATAAAGCCTTAACGTAAGTCCAACAAGGTATAAAAAAGAATATGTATATGTGTACGTCACACGTACACGAGTACGAAAACAATAGATGATTATTGGTCGAAAAGCAAATTATTCGCCGGTAAGAAGGCGCATGCCTGAACAAACAACATGCTGTTTAATCGATAAACGTGTCGTCGAAATTATATCGTTCTAACTTTAAGGATGTCCATCCCGTTATATACTTGTATCGTGGATTATTTTTCAAAGATGCAAATATTTTTTACGTGTTGGATATATTATGCACACGGATAGACATACGTACGGACAGATGCTTTTACAACCCCGTAGACGCAATAATTCGACAGCACAGGGGTTGCAACGCCTCCGGTCGAACTGCCATGTAACGGGTGCGCGTTTCGCGTCGTACTATTCTCGTCCAGTCCGTTGTTTCTCAATTATTTTCGAATTCGTTTCAATTCGAGCCAGTCGAAGAGGAGAGTACACGTTGTTTTTAGCAGGCCTAAAAACGTTACGATCCTTTTTTTACGATCGCTACGAGCACTCGTACCAACTTTCTTCTCCTGTATTCTGGCTCTTTTCTCGCGTTGCTCTCGAGCATCTCCTACATTTTGCATTCTCAACGTTACTCGACACGAATTATTAACGTAATTATTGAAGAAAGACACGAAAATCGAAATGGAGAAATACGTGGTAATTTGTTCGACGAAGAATATCTTGACGATGATGCATGTAGTGCAATTAAGATCATCCAAAATGATTAAAAGGTTCGTCGGTGTGGTTTTCTTTAAACGCAGATAAGAACATTATATCAAAATACGCTGTATGTTTTTTTTTTTCCTATATTTGACGTTAATCTTTGGTTTCTGCTCGTCAATTCGTTAGAAGTTATCTTTAGCTGATTATTGGCTGGCTAAAAATAATAAACGCATAGCGCGAAAATGCTGTTACTGTTAATAATTTGCGCGAAGTACAAAGTTTATTGTGTTAAAAATTTTACAAAATATTATTAGCTATTATTGTTATTATTAATCTAACCAACTACGTTCTCTTTGTTTCACGTGATCGTCCAAGGGTGTAGAACGAAGAAAAATCTTTCGCAGAACTATCGACCGGTTTCATTATGCATATACTCATGTTGCTGGAGTTATTGCATAATTTATGACGCGCTGAGTCGACCGTGATAACATTAAATGTGCAGCAAAAGGGCTGTTATCGTTTTATCAGTCTCATTAACGACCTAATTGTTGACTTTGGTTATCGTTTATTTCTCTTGTAAATATTTTCGATACGCGTCACCGATTCTTGCCTGTCATGCATTGTCACGTATCGTAACATTTCTATATTACATGAAACACGATTGTATTTTCGGAAAAGTAACTCAGCTACGTGTACATGCACAATTAATATTACTAATACTTGGAAACAAATGTTACACAAATTTTTGCACTTGTTTCTGGTAATCGTAAAAATTTATGGAAAAATTATTATATATATAATAGAGAGAGAGCAAATTTTGAATTTGTGGAAATAAAGAAGAAAAAAAAAAAAGTATTAAATACGGAAACTTAATATTCCTCAAAGAGCTCAGACTCTGTACAGTATTCTCGTACTAAAACACACACTACGAAGAAAATTTGTATACTAGGCGGTGTATCGTACCGCATTTATTTATGTTGAAGAGACGAATCTCTAAAGTTTCTTTTCGTTATAGGCATTATTCCAACTCCATTTATTATATTTTCAAGTTAATTCAAAATCGATGAATCATTCGTTGATCTATTAATAATAAATATCAAAGAAATCATGTACTTGTCACCGTGCATGAGAAAAGCATATTTTTCAACTTCTTACAACTTCTACTTTACATCTATATATTTTATGCTTTACATCTATATACATGTACGTTGTTTTCACTTATCTATTAATCTGATAATCGACGGGAAGGATTGCGAAGCTTAAAAATCATACTTTCCGGATGACTTTCTTGCGTATAATTCAACGTTCTCAAATGTTCGAGCTTATCTATCGATTTCGATTCTCCTGCATTTTCACGTTACCTCATAGGATATCACTGATCGCTTGTAGAAAGCTGACGAAAATAATTGCTATCGTTGAAAATGTCTATGAAAGTCGATGCGTATGATAAACCAATCAAACATCCAAAAAAAACGTGATCCACAAAGTTTAGTTCTATTCGCGAATTATAACCAAAGAAGAAAATTGACCATATTCGAAAGCCGATTCACACTGCGACCTGTCGAATCTCGGCAACGACACGCTAGAAATCTATATAGAGAAGGATCTAATATATTGAATCTATTTATAATATTATATTCCTGTTATAATAATATTTGTATGCTACACCAACTAAGAGGCTCCTGTATGAATATTATTATAATCCACATTGACATTCTATACATATACATATATTAATATTATTAATATACTGTATTTATATTATATTATATTATATGTGTATAATATTGATATTGTCAAATATATATATATATATATGGTGTCCTTCAACGACACGATACGACAGCTGCACTTTTACCATTGCCGCCTAGTGGGGATCGGCTTTATACTTTCGCAAAGGAATTACCATTCGTTTGCAGAGGAATTCATTTTTTGATATTTCACATCAAAGAAATAATCACTATAAATATCTTTTTTAAATCGTGAATGGATAGTGCAAAATTGAAATTGGGCATTCCACAGCGTTGTATATTCAATAAGTATTCATAAAATTAATATATTTCCAAGACAGTGTTTCTCTTGGAAGTACCTAAATGCACGGACAAACGGCAGATGATTTTATTTGCTCTAAGCAAAATTGTTGTGTAAAAGGGTTCGTATTATCGAAGAGAAATTAAAAATATTTAAATATATTTCGAAGCTTCTGTAGTTGCAAAGGTGTCTCTTGCTGCGAAATGGTGAGCAATTATGAGATCAAGAATTAACGAAGAAGGTTGTTGTAATAATAGGCATTTTCTTCGGTATGTAACGTTACCACACACAGATATAGATTAGTAACGCACAAGATGTTGCGATAAATTGTATTCTAAGGATGTAACAAACAATTGTAACGTTTAAACGAGCAGTATCATATATGTACTCTGTTTGTTTAAAATAAATACCCATTAAGTGTACAAACAATTCCGACCTATACTGTGAAGAAATTAATAGAAATACACCTTTAATTAAACTAATCGTTCTGGACCAATGATTTTTTTCTGTTTTGAAATTATTCATACTGATAATTTATATATGGAAAATATGCAGAATCAAATATACAGAATAAATCTTTGTTTTAAATTTCAAATTGGACGAAGTTGATATATTCATCGTAGTATATATTCCTTAAATTACTTTCATAGCACTATGCCAGATGTCACTCTAATCGCTACGAAGTTTGATTTGATTATTTCCTAGTCACGACAAGTTGTTTTGCCGATATTATTAATATTATAGAATGAATACTCGAAGTTTTTTACTACTATGAATAAAATATTCTTCAAATAATTAAAGGAACTTCAATAAAACTTATCAATGGGTAAGAGATATTATTGCGAGTATTGTGACAGATCCTTCAAGGATGATCCAGAAGCCAGAAAGAAACATCTTTCAAGTTTACAACATGTGAAAAATCGTGCAGATCATTATAATATGTTCAAAGGTAATTATTCAGTAATAATTATGCCAATAAAATATTTAAAATACTTATATAAATTAGATACGTGTCAATCATAACCTCAAAATTGTTACACATTTTTCACTGTTGTTAAAAATGTTTTCATCTATTGTTGTTTGTAGATCCGGAAGTTATATTGAAGGAAGAAAGTTCAAAGATACCATGCAAATGGTATTTAAGCGGTGGTAATTGCGCATTCGGTCTTGGTTGCAGATATTCTCATTACACTCCGCCAATGATATGGGAACTTCAACGTCTTGGTAATGTTCACAATAAGGCAAAAGTGAAACAAAATCCTGCATCAAGTTCTTTATATAACTTTCATTTACAGTTGCAATGAAACACCAATCAAAATTTAACGCAACACTTGAAAGTGGCTGGCCAAATCCTGATGATATAATCAAAGAATATTTTCAGAATACTGCGAGTACAAGCAATACGGATGATTTCATTTACCCTACTTGGCACAGACCATTGGAATTACAGAATTATTCCATGTTGCCACCATCGTTATGGCCTATCACACCGGAAAGCCTAGCAAATACTACAACTTTCAAGGAATGGAGTTAGAGATACAAGAAGTACGGGATTCTTTCTCGAATTAAATTGGATTGAAATTTGATCGCAGTTTTAACTCGATATGTGTAAATAATTCAAAATGTAACCATTGGCGTAAAATTGAATGTTTTGTTAATAAACTAACATAAATACGAAAAATGTTTTAAATTTACATACATATATATATATCACATGTATCATACATATTTCTTTAATTCAAAGATAGTAAAATATCATTTTGAAAAATGTAAAAGGTCGAGCAAGTACATAATAATTTTTCGATATTTCTCGGTTGAACAGATACACCATCTTACGAGGCAACCACGAATCGGAGTCGGTGTTGCTCGATGTTCGCCGGTAACCTTCGTAACTACCATCTGTCCTCCATCATCCCCTCCACCAATCACCGAGCAGAAAGGCGAGCACACAATGAACCCTGGTACACCGTCACACAGTAGTGAAGCACCCGTTGCCACGATAGTTTGGCGTTTGAGCATCGTGTTCGGCGCGGCCGTCGTGTTGGTTCAATTTCAAAAAATTCAGTGTACGTTCGTACACCGAGGATCGTGTTACGATTATGAGATTAACTCGATCACGTGACTCGTGTGAATATACGCTGGTGTGCCAATCAGAAAGTGTTTGAAACTTGCCAGTGCATCGGCACGGCGGGACGCCGGCCCCCCTCGATCGGCCGACTGGATTTTCGATCGCCGCTTCGGATCATCTCGATCGCACCGGTGAGTCCTCGCCGATATCTTTCTTTCTCACATGTTGAAATTCTCTGACCGAATCGCGCGGTTGTTATCTTGTGAAAGATATGATGGAATTAAATTTAAACAGGACACGTGATCTGGTTGAGAGCGAAAACACAAACGCAGCTATACAAAACCGTAGATAGAGATAGAGAGGAAAGTGCTCTCAAGTATACGGGAAATATCACACGGCAATAATTCCCCGACATCGATGACGTTTAAAAGAAGAAGCTCAGATTCGCAGATTTGCGTAAAATTGCAAACGAAGACTCGTAAATCGTAAATCGGTTTTGAACGACGTATGACTTTGATTTGACGGAGTGTCATTTAAAAACTGACATGTGAATCACATTCTGTAACTTCTTTCCTTAGGAATCTGGATTTAAATACAGTATTTGCCTTCGATTTGTTTGCTTCTAACAATATAATATCATTTTATTCGTTTTTCTTCTTTCCTTTCTATAATGTGGACTTCTATAAGCTTTAACTCGTATAATCGTTCCGCTTCGCATAAAAGGGGGATTTTGCTCCAACATGAATCACGTGAATTTACGCATGCGATATTTACGTTCTACATTATGCACTGATATAAAAAAAAAAAAAATTACTTAACCAATAAACTACAAATCATTTTTCTAATTAGTTATAATTTTAGATTAATTGTAATTGTAAATTGTTTCATTATTAAGTACGTTGTTATTAAAATGTCACCACTATAGTAACTGGTTAAGAAATAATATTTATTTCACAATCACCATTACACCGTAAGTATATATATTTTCTCGTTTAAATGGTTCGTAACTCCAATATCGGCGCGTTGTTGTAGCAAACGAAATCGGTTCGTATTTACGTATGATGATATCGTTTGATAATATATACATTATCATAGGTACGATACTGAGTGTGAATATCAAATATCATTTTACCCAAATATTATTTCCATTAACGTAGTCGTAGAATGACTCTTAAAATTCCTACGCCGTGTCATTGCACACTTTTCAAACATTACATGCGAATTTCACTTCTGGTAAACACGAACCGATGAATTATATTATACAATATGTCCCAATGAATTTACAAGTGAGAAACAAATTGCAACGCGTAGTCGTAACAATCTGTATGATATTTAATAACGTTAGAACGTCGTTGAAGGTTCGCAAGATGTTTGTTAAACAACGATAAATGAAAAGGGGGAAATCTGCAAGGACTTGAACAATCTAGAGGAGAAAGTGATTGGAAGATAGGGGCACGGATTCACTGATATATTACATCACTGATATCGTTTCCGCCATAACGACGACGGAGTCTGGTTGTTGTAAAAAGGTTAAATGTAGTGTGACGACCGGATGGCAACGACCTGCACGCCATAGACAAGAGGCCGGTGCTACGTGCAGTCGCGTCACGATTTCTTGCCGGAGGTCGTGACCTTGCCGATATGGGGAATAATGGTGCGTCCGCCTGCACCGTAGAAGAGATCGTCCTCGTGAGTCAGTCTCTACCGATCGATTTCACGCGTGCATCAACGTTCGTTGTCGCGTTCCGCGCGCACCACAATGGACTTGTCTATTTTCGAGCAGCTGTCGCGACCCTCTTTCGAACAATACAGCCCCAGAGTGTGTAAGCAACGTGCATGCGCGCAACCGGTCGCTTTTCGATCGTACTTTTTTTTTAGTAGAATCGTGACCTACCACTGGACATCCTACCCTACGTTTGCCATTGCAATCGATATTATGTAGCTTTAGCCTCCTTTTCAACAGTACTTTCCGCGATCATTGAATTTAGTGAGAAGCAATTGCCAGGAAAATCTCGAATCTTTGAATCAGTACGTTCACATGAAAGGTTCGCAGCAAGAAAAAGGCAGTTTCACTTTTTATTTATTCTTTGTTATATATCTTATTCCGTTTAAAAAAAAAAAAAAAAAATGTGACCTCTCAGTTGGTGTAAAATGGATTTAGCTATTAAAACGAAAGTGCTTTTTGTCTGATTTACTAAAATTATCTTCCTTATTTCAATGGCCCTTTTATTGTATATGGAGGATTTTATAGAATTTTAAAGGATGGGGTATTCCTATTCGGAGCCGCCGATTTTTAAGCAATTATTGAATAAAATATTGTCAGATTATTATAATTGCCGATTTTTATGCATTTGTGATATGATGCAAAAATGTATAAAAATCCAATCTAGTTATTATAAATCTAGAGTTTAATATACTTGAAAAGAAAACAATTCCATTATGTTAAATGAAAATTACAATAAGATTGTTGTTGAAAGCATGCTTAAATATGATTAAACTTCTAAATCGAAAGGAGTGGAACCGTGTATCAAATATTTTATACAAAGAAAACCTTCCCTAAATTGCCAATCTCTTGTATGATATTAATTATCAAGTCACTCCAGTTAATCTAAGAATTGCGCAACTCTTAAATAACGATCCCATGGAAATCAACCGGATTAAATAAGACTAATTGTACCTATTAGGCTCGAAAAAACGGTCTTAAATGAAAACTGATTTCTCGCATGACGTCTACGCTGAAATTAATTCCCCTTCGACACGCATTGCTATATCTAATCAACGACTAATCTTCACAAGGACAGTACGTACATAAACGTACGACAGTGGACACATAAAAACCGAGCTTCACAATCTGTCGATAACGCGCGATATAACGATCCATTTTCATTCTCCGAGTTTCGAAGTTCGCAGGTTTAATTCGTCGCGAAGCATTGCCTCTGCGAGCATACACGAGCTGCTAAAAACCAGCCACCCGGCAATTTAACATCATTTATTTCTATTGCCTTTATACGGGCTTATTACGTCACGCGATTTCTCTCCGCCCTTTATCGCGTGGCAAATTGTAAGTATGTATACACTCGGTCGCGTGTACCATGATCGTCCCACGATTCCTCCAGAAGAAAGTCAATCGGCAGATAATTTTCCAAATTGCCAAACGATCGAGATCGATGAACACCTTCGTCGATTGTTTTGCACTCGTGTTCCATCAAACGACGTTCTATCGTTACACGATCTTAACATTAACACTAGAACACTATCGAGGATTAATCTTTAATCGACAAATCCACTTTTGCAAATGGTTGAGCAAACACCACTGATTAATAATCATTTAATAGCTCAAGGCACAGAATTTTAAAACATAAACAGTTTTTTTTGTTTATAAAATTGTGATTAATGTAAAATTTCCTTCTATCTATAGTGGGATGTTTTTCATACCTGCTCATTCGATACAGATATGAGGAAGAATTGAAATAAATGTTAGAAATAAGAAATTCTAAATCTAGAAAATTACTACGGAAAATTACAAATTGGATATTTTGACAATCTGGTAGTTCTAGTGTTAATTATCTTATAATTGATAGGAGTGCATGAGCGAGTGTTATGTAAAAATACAAATCTACGTTTGATAAGCGAAAATGTAGGTCTAGGTAGCTCGAACGCATTAGCTATCTATATCATTGTTTGTGCCACCTG